GGGGGGGGCTACTATTTTGGTCAGCGAATATAATGAGACTTGGGATGTAGCCAGAGTAACGCCAGACGCTGGCTAGTTTACGGAGCAGATCCAGCGGTGCCGCCGTCATCAGGAATAGACGTCGCTTCACATGACGCTTCAGTGGAAAGGACGTCTCATGTCTCTTAAATCGACAATGCTCGCTCATCGCTCCCAGCGCTAGCTCCTCGCATTTTTTCCTAGGTGGGAGGAGCTAAACAGCTAGCAAAGTTGGCTAGGTAAGATAACTAGCAGTAATTTAAAAGACTTGGGACGGACCCCATTATCTGAAGGGTTACTGTTGGTTCCTAAGGTGCTGGACTGAAAGGGTTTGGTGGAGATGGGGCTAAAGAAAGAAAGAAAGATAAGGGAAAGAAAGCAAACCGACTTTGTAAAAAATGAATAAATAAAAGGTGCCTGAGAGAGAGGTGGATCCAGAGAGAAAGGACAGGGGGGCCACAGAGACTTCTTACGCGTCGGCCCCCGCTCTGGTGCTACGGCCCTGCACAGGAGAAAAAATACCTATTTCAAAGTCTGCGTCCATTTTTATTTCTGTCCACTTTGGCAGCAAAAAACAACCACAAACAGGCAAAGAAAGAAGAGAAACACAAGTTTAAAGGTAGATAGAAGTAATATTCAGGTTTATATTCGCTGGTTAACACCCACATGTTTAAAAATAATAATAATTTCACTACAGGAGTTACAGATGTATCTGCAGATTCACTCTGAAGGTGCTGTAATTACGGCTAAAAACCTGAAAGTTAACGAACAAGAAAACAACAGTTCTCTAACGGTCATAACCTGAGTTCTTGATATTAACCGTTACTGATAACGCCTGGATAAAGTTAGCTGAAGTTAGCACCCGGTTCAGTAAAGCTCCCCCGGTGTTTGAACTCTCACGGCTCCGGTTAATCCGCCTCAGCTCGGTACATTTAAAGTTTAAACCTCCTAAGCAGCAGTGTAACGGTGCGGTTTGTCTCCCCGTGTCCACACACGGCTGACTGAATGAAGGGCTGTGGTGCTAACGGCTAAACCCGTTAGCTCACATCACCGCAAAGTTAGCAAACAAGCTAACAAGTTTGTTTACGGTCACAGTGCTGGAGTTACTGATTTATAACGCACGCGGACGGTCGGTGAACTCACCGCGGGTTTGAAGCTGAGTGTCTCCGCTGCTGTTAGTCCATGTCGGCCGGTGAATGTACCGTGTGAAGCTCCGGTGAGGACCTGCGGGGCTGCACCGCCACCGTCCCGGGTCTAGTGGTTGGTCGGTGGGTCCGCTCACAGCTGACTGACTGATCCTGATTCCTGAAACTATCCGCTGGTGCAGCCCGCAGGAGGGGGCGGGGCCTGCTGGCTGCCGGACAGTCACCATATAAGGTAATGCTGTGCTCCGCAGCGGGCGGTAGGGGGCGGTGTGGCCTGTACTTCACATGAAAACCTTCAGTGAGGAAACAGCAGAGGAAACTGAGGGACTCTAATAATTTACCACATGTGCATTTTGACATGTATGTACAATAACAGATAAGAGTACATGGTTACGGTCATTACGTCCAGAGGTGCAGTGGTCATTCATGAGGTGGATGTACTATCACATAGATAGGCTGGGTTTAATTCTCCAGCATGCTTCAGTGGCACTTGTATCACTTGTTGTCTCCCAGAACTTTTCCTTGGAGGCTGTGACTTTAACAAAATAAGAATCCCAAACAAAACAATGAAACATTTGCACCATTAGGGTGAACTGAGGGTGAGTGGGACAGTTTTTGAATTTCCTCCTGCTGTAAGCTTCATTGCCATAAAAAAAAGCCCAGCAAACAAGATGTTACCTGCCTATCTCAGGAGGAAAGAAAGTTTTATGACACGCCCTTTTAAGTAAACTGACTCCAACCCTCTTGTTCTTGTTTTTGTATAATTTGGTGACAATACCTGATTATACCTGGTGTACTGGTATGCCAAACAGACTGTGAGAGTTAAGTGGGGAAACTCTACATCTGCCCATGTAACCGATGGTCCTGTCCTGTTTAACGTCTATATGGAGGACCTTTCTGTCCAGGTAAATACTTGTGTGACGGGATGCATGGTGGGAGGTATTCTCATCAATCACTTAATGTATGCTGATGATCTAGTTATCTTTTGTCCATATAGTGCTGGTCTCCAGCTCCTGCTGAGGATCTGTTCACAGTATGGTACTGAATGTGACATTAAGTATAATGCAAAGAAAAGCAATGTGATGATTGTCCATAGTAGGGAAGACAGACGATCAATCTTTCCTGGTTTTTCTGTCATACTCAGCCCTCACAGACTGTGATGAGGAGAAATATCTCGGTCACTACATGACAAACAGACAATGTCGACAAATGTGTGCTCAAGCAAACATGCTGTTGTGCAAGTTCAGCATGTGCTCAGTGGATATAAAGATTTGTCTCTTTATACTGCCCACCTGTGGTGTCGCTACAAGAAAAGCAGCATGCAGAGACTCACTGTGGTTTACAATGACTTATGAGGTTGTTGCTTAAGGCCAAAACACACCGGCGGCGGCTCGACGCGCGTCGACGTGCCGCGCTATTGTCCTATTTTTCCAGCGTCACCGCCCTTGAAAAAGCGCTATTTCCCAGCCTATAGCGGACTGGAGTGTGCAATAGAAATCCGGTTGACGCCCCGCAGCGCGACGCTTTTTGTGTGTGTTGGGGGCGGCACTTGACTCGCGTCAATGACGCCGCCATCATATGACGCTGCCGGTGTGTTTTAGAAGCTGCAGGGCAAGTCATATGTTTGCTAGTGTTGGAGTCCCTACCTGTGCTGCAGTGATACGGAATCTGATGTATATAGATTCATATGTAGAGTATCTAACTCATTAAACTGTTTTATTTCATGCTTAATTGACCCTGCACTCAGCTCAGTCAGGTTCACGTCTAAGATGTGGAGTCACTGGCCATCATCAATCAATCAATCAATCAATCAATTTTATTTATAAAGCCCAATATCACAAATCACAATTTGCCTCACAGGGCTTTACAGCATACGACATCCCTCTGTCCTTATGACCCTCACAGCTGATCAGGAAAAACTCCCCAAAAAACCCTTTAACAGGGGAAAAACTGTAGAAAGCTCAGGAAGAGCAACTGAGGAGGGATCCCTCTTCCAGGACGGACAGATGTGCAATAGATGTCGTACAGAACAGATCAGCATAATAAATTAACAGTAATCCGTATGACACAATGAGACAGAGAGAGAGAGAGAGAGAGAGAGAGAGAGATGCAGGTAATGACAGTAGCTTACAACAACATTATTGAAAGTAATAATATTATAGTTATAGTTCTGGCTACTGTGGTACAATATGTTGAAAGTATGTATTAATATCTGGCAGTATACATGTGTGACAATAGTCATATGTGTATAATAACAGTAGAAGTATGACTAATGACTAATGATGGCAGCAGCAGCAGGAGGCATCTGGCAGGACCACGGCAGCAGCACAACCACACACGTCACGCTGTCCAGGCACCGCTGTGATATGAGTTAATCTGAGAGACAGTGGAGCACAAAGGCTCCGGAGAAGAAGCCGAGTTAGTGACATCCAGAATGGCCGAGTTAGCAAGATGCAGTAATAGAATACGAGAGAGAGAGAGAGAGAGAGAGAGAGAGAGAGAGAAGGAGAGAAGGTGCCCGGTGTATTATAGGGGGGTCCTCCGGCAGACTAGGCCTAAGTCAGCCTAACTAGGGGCTGGTACAGGGCAAGCCTGAGCCAGCCCTAACTATAAGCTTTATCAAAGAGGAAAGTCTTAAGTCTAGTCTTAAATGTGGAGACGGTGTCTGCCTCCCGGACCGTAACAGGAAGATGATTCCACAGGAGAGGAGCCTGATAGCTGAAGGCTCTGGCTCCTGATCTACTTTTGGAGACTTTAGGGACCACGAGTAACCCTGCGTTCTCAGAGCGCAGTGTTCTGGTGGGATAATATGGCACTATGAGCTCTCTAAGATATGACGGAGCTTGACCATTTAGTGCTTTATAAGTTAACAGTAGGATTTTAAGGATTGCCTGTACACCTGTGTGTGACTCTTATATTTTCTGTAAATCACTGTTTTATTGTGTATGTTGTTGTTGTCTTACTCTTATGTTGCTATGGACCTCCCCTTGAGATGTGTCTTTAATAAAGTATGACTTGAATTGATTTGAATTGAATTGAACACACCTCATCACTGATTTAGGCTAGTGTAGACACATTTATTTGCACATATCATTTCACATGCATATTTTTCTTATCGAGTTCATAATTATGAATTAAGACTCAGTGTACATTTATGTTAAACTTTATTGCTGAAGTCCGTCCACAACTCGTGCAATATAAAGATGTCTGTCCTCTCTGTCACAGCAACCTCCTCCCTCGCCAAATTTCATTGAACACATTTAATTGATTTAAAAAGAAAATCCTTGAGATCCAAAATTCATTAAATATATTGGGTTACACAACATGTTTGACTGAGGTTTGAAAATGCTAGGATTAGTTAGAGCTGGGTTAAGAGGTCAAGGCTAAGTGTTAGGTTTGGCTTAGATAGTGTGTTAGGGTTTAGGATTAGGGTTAATAAAGATCCTTAATAAAGATATTAAGGGTTAGGGTTAGCCAGCTGGCAAAAAACACCAAGCAAAATCCAGCTGGTCCTTAATATCTTTATGGTTGATTATTGTTCTGCACACATGAAGAGGTGGGAATAACTAATCTAAGCATACACAATGGGTCTCTATTCCAAGGCTGATCATTTTCTGTATTAGCAAAGCCTTTCAGCACCGTCCCATCAGCCAAAGTGCATCTGGGTCATATGGACAAACTAAAAACAGCTTAATTAAAAACAGACACATGATATAAACACATTTTACTGATTTTTGAGCTGTAGTACATCATAATCATGTTTCTATCAAAGGTTTGTACAGTACATTGGCTATGCTGATTTCATGAGCTGATGTTTAAAACTAGCCAAAGCTCATGTCATTTTCCTCGCCTCATGCACGCAGGGTCGACTTCCTGTTTGAATCTTGCCCCACCCACCTATGTGATGCCATACCTATGAGGGCATGCAATTTTGATTATGTTGTTTCACAGATATGGCTCAGAAAAAAAAATATGGGGGGGTTGTTTGTTGTTTTCACTCATCAGGTGATAAAATAAACCCTGTATAATTATATGACCTTATGCCCCAGTCACCTTTAAGTCATCCTTTCTAAAATCCCCCTTAACTCCAAAAGCAAAAGAACTACATTTTAAAATCTTCTTTATCTATATTTATTAATATAGCACCTTTCATGCAACAGATGCAGCACAAAGTACTTTACAATAAGTATAGTATATATCAGTATCAGTCACATGAAAACAGACATGATGAACATAAAACAGAGAAAAACATAAAAGGAACATTTAAAAAGAGATTCAACAATTTTCATTTAAAAATGATGATTTGAGATCCTATTAATCCAAATCTCATATTGTATTTCTGAACGTCTTCTCAGGAGTTAACCTCACTGCAGGTATCGTCTGTGCCAGGTACGGCCCACAGCTGCCCCAGAATCTGAACCACCCAGCTGTGGCACTGAGGACCAAAGAGAACTCACCTCAGTCTTTCTCCATCAAATCCACCACCCACTGAACACAGCAAAACCATAAATCTTAAAATCATTAAAAATTACAGATCATACGATGAAATAAATAATAAAATAAAGTAAGAAACGAAATTTAAAAAAGTTGCAGCAGCATGAAGCGTAAGGAGAGTTTCAGACCTGTATGAGGAGAGTCAGAGTGAGTTAAAGTCTAAGGTGAACAGATAGTTTTTTATCTTTCTTTTAAAAAACATTTAGCGAGCAGCTTCTCTGAGATCTATAGGTGGTGTGTTCATAGCTTTGGGGCTGCGCCCTCGATCTTCTTCCAATAAACCAGCAGCAGATGATCGCAGTGTTCTCGGAGGCAAATAGTTAACAAGGGAGTTAGTGATGTAGCTCGGTCCCAGCCCATGTAGGGCTTTGTATACAAGGAGGAGGAGCTTAAAATCAACTGTACATGTAACAGGAAGTCAGAACAGAGCAGCTCAGACTGGCCTGATGTGCTCTCTCCTCTTGGTTCTGGTTCACAGCTGCAGAGTTATGAATGAGCTGAAGTCTGTCAGTGGTGACATTCTCCAATTGTAAAATTGTGTATCCTTTACACTGAATAAAAAAAAGTTTTAACATTTCAGCAACTAAAATATGCGTCAGTCGTCTTCAGCCCGACGCTACTCACTCTACATTTTGCCAAATCTCCACAGCGGTGGTGACAGTAGTCTTGGCCAGCTCTGGATTATAAATCCAAAAAAGGAAAAGTTTTGGAAGACACATAGTTTAATTGTGCGTGAAGACATTTGTTTGCTTTTACTGCCAACTCTGCAAAGTTCCCAATGATCATAAACAGCCCACTGCAGCGCCACCTGGTGGTAAAGCATATTACTGAATGCTTATTTAGACGTAATAGTGATGTTTGCAGGCTCATTAGAGTTAAGGCCCTGACACACCAAGCCGACGGTCGGGGTCAACCAAAGTCGGGCCGTTGGTGAGCGTCTGTCGGCCTAGTTTTTGCGGTGTGTCCCGCACCGTCGGCACTTTGGTGTCGGCGGCTTTTCGGCCGATTGAGCATGTTGAATCGGCGGCAGAGCTAGTCGGTGAGAGAGATCACTCTGATTGGCTGTTCAGGTTTTATTTCCTCACCCTTGTAGCGAGTGAATCTGCCTGTAGTGAAACCGGGGCTAACCGGTGCTTCCTCCTCAGGCTCCACTTCACTCAGCTGCCCCACAGACCCGCTGCTTCTTCACACTTTAACCTGAATAACAAACCGGAGCTAGCTGGGAGCGGCTAGCGGAGCGTTAGCCGCAGCATGACCGGAGGGAAGCACAGCCAGTTAGCCTCCGCTAGTCTCTGAGCTAGTCCCGGCTCTCCGTTTGGATCCAAATGGAGAGCCGGGGCTAGCTGGGAGCGGCTAGCGGAGCCTTAGCCAGAACATGGATGTAATAGTCCGTGGAGGTGCTGCGGTGCTCGGCTGCACAGATAGGAAACCCCTCGGCTGACAGGATGTACCACTCTCTCACTCCGCTCTCTCTCACGCAGGTGCAGAACGTACGTGCTACTTGGCCGTCGGATGTAGTCCGTGTAGTGTGTTCAAATGCAACTGACACAGGGTGACGTGAGGCGACGTAGACGACGCAACAGTTGGCTTTCGTCGCCGCTAGTTCTTTGATGTCGGTTTGGTGTGTCCGCACCTTGAGCCTTATAGGCTGTGTTGCCTTTATTATAAGGCTCAAATATGTTTTGTGACTCCAAACAGATTTTTGAAATAATCTTTGACTCTTCTGGTGGCGAAGGTTGCCGACCCCTGGTACAGATCCTCTGTGCTGCCACAGGGAGGATGTGTGTGAAGCATCCTTGTTTTTACAGACACGGATGTGAACTGTAGGAGAAGCTTCACTGCTGGTGGTAATTCTAGTTTTTAATGAAAAACATAATTGGATATGAGGCGTTGATCATGTTGACTTAACCACTTCTTTTATGAAGCTATTTTCTGTCTTTTTCTTTTTTTAAAGTGCAGTAAAATATAACCTTTAACTTTAACGACAATATTCTTCATCAATTTCAGAGCATAATTATGAAAATAGGTTCAGTGGCATTTTTGTAATTCATTTTTAATTTACCAATTTTAATAAATAGAACTTTTTGCAGTGAAAATAAGGCTCACATCTTTATGATTATGAAGTTTTGTGACTGTTGTTGGACATGTTCAAACTGGAGTTTATGGGCTGCCGGAAAATGTTGAATCGCCATCCTGTTCCTCCACCTCTACCAATGACACAAAAGCAGCATTATGGGATATTACATGACATACAGAAATAAATTAATGAATTCCTTTTTGATGCCTTCAATCATTTATAAACTAAGAAAATTCAAATGTCTTCTCTGCAGCAGAAAGAGAGCCACTGGTACCTGTGTCAAGAAGTGGAAACACCTGTCTTTCCCACAGGCCCTGAATGCAGCAGTATGGGAGGGCGTGGCCAACCTGGCACAACCAGGAAGGTGCAGCAGAGTGGGCGGATGAAGGGCCTCCACCCTGCAGCAGAGCTTCAGCAGCAGCAGAGAGACACGGTCGACCCCCAGCTCACCTGAACAGGTAAGAAAACCAGCTACACCAGCACTCTGTACTGGGACCGGACCAGTACCAGCTGCTGGGTCTGCTCAGTGTGTGTGTGAAGTGTGTGAGTGACTCTTTAAAAGTTTAAGGAGGTGTTTGTTTTAAAGCATTCTCAGAACTTTATTCACCTGTTATCTGTGTAGAGTCTCAGTGTGCAGGATTTAGAGGGAGAAATGAACAAAACTATAATCAGTGTGTTTACTTTAGTGTTTAATCACCTGAAAATAAGAATCATTGTGTTTTTGTTACCTTAGAATGAGATGTTTATATCTACACAGGGAGCAGGTCCTCCCCGCCATGTTTCTACAGTAGCCCAGAACAGACAAACCAAACACTGGCTCTAGAGAGGGGTATTTGCTTTTTCACGTAGTATTTCTCCGTCATGTTTCACTGCTACCTGTCACCAAATCCAACACACTGGACCTTTAAATTACTTTTAAATACTTTGAACCCTGTCTAATAATCTCAGATATATTCTTTTTGTTCCAACTCTCAGATCCTTATTATTGTAGATGTCGTGTGCATTATTTCAGTTAAACATATCTGGCATCTTCGCAAAACGCAGTTAAAAAGCTTGTCATGTAGAGCAGCATCTCATGTCAGTTTCTACCACACCTCTCTAATTTCATTATCGAATAATCTACTGATATTTTTTTCAATTAACTGATGAAACGTTTGGTCCATAAAATGTCAGAATATTCCTGTAGCCCAAGGTGATGTCATCAACCAGCTTCTTCTGTCTGATCAACAACAAAATCAAGTTAGTAATCACATCATATAGAGAAGCATCGAAGCATCAGAATTAAGAACCTTAATGTTTGGGAATATTTGGTATTTTTGCTTTTTAAAAAATGGCTTTTAGTAATTCATTTTCTGTTGATGAATCCATTCAGCTGTAAAGTTATTTGTGTTCAAACTTTAAGTGATCAAAATGAAAAACTAGCTGAGTTTAAGAAGCTATTCTACCCCAAAAAGGTTTGTTTAAACATCCTAAAATGTTTTAAATTCTTCTGAAGGCACTGAATATTTAGGGACAATGTGCAGAAAGCGTTCTGTGTCAGTGTGAGTGCATAAGTGAATCATTTGATTTTTTTTATGTTTGAAGTGTTAAAGATTAACTTGTATCCGTGTTGATTTGTGACTCCGACACATTCAGAGCAAAGCGACCCGTTCACATGGAAACTAAACGTCAGTGTGTTTTGAAGTTGCAGTAAAACTGCACTTTGACATCACGCTGTGTCTTAGTGTGAAGTGTTTCCTGTGTGTGTTTTTAGAAAGGTACATTAATGTCAGGCACCAACTGGAGACGTCTCAGAGCAGACTCACTGACTCAGATAAAAGTTGAGGGTCTTTAATGAGGCTCAAGTCACAAGCACAGGTGTCCCAAAACACACTCACAAGAACTACGAGGAAAAACACTGGAATTCCCAGTCGAAGGTAAAGATGACCTGGAAACAAAGGAGGGGAAGACTTTAAGACAAGGGAGACAATGAGACACAGGTGAGACACTCAGACACAGGTGAGACACTCAGACACAGAGACACAGGTGAGACACTCAGACACAGAGACACAGGTGAGACAATGAGACACAGATGAGACAATGAGACACAAAGACACAGGTGAGACACAGAGACACAGGTGAGACAATGAGACACTGAGACACAGGTGAGACAATGAGACACAGAGACACAGGTGAGACATAGAGACACAGGTGAGACAATGAGACACAGATGAGACAATGAGACACAAAGACACAGGTGAGACACAGAGACACAGGTGAGACAATGAGACACTGAGACACAGGTGAGACAATGAGACACAGAGACACAGGTGAGACATAGAGACACAGGTGAGACAATGAGACACAGATGAGACAATGAGACACAAAGACACAGGTGAGACACAGAGACACAGGTGAGACAATGAGACACTGAGACACAGGTGAGACAATGAGACACAGAGACACAGGTGAGACATAGAGACACAGGTGAGACAATGAGACACAGATGAGACAATGAGACACAAAGACACAGGTGAGACACAGAGACACAGGTGAGACAATGAGACACTGAGACACAGGTGAGACAATGAGACACAGAGACACAGGTGAGACATAGAGACACAGGTGAGACAATGAGACACTGAGACACAGGTGAGACACTGAGACACAGAGACACAGGTGAGACACAGGTATGACGACGTTATTGAAACGATCCCCGTTCACACGGAGCCGCAAAATCTACTGGAAATGCTGTAGTATGCACGCCGGGTCAATGGGTGGCAGTGTAAACTTGCAAAGCAACACCACGGCATGACGCCATGCGCCTGCGCTGAAGCGCCTTCCTCTACAATGCGGTGATTGCAAACCAAAACAAAGAAGACACAATGGCGAAAGCATGCACAGATAACTTTGTCTGGATGGACGATGAGGTGGAGTTGCTACAGTAACAGATCTACACTTCACTTCAAATCAAGCACCCTGCAGAGCAGCATCACGTCTCCCTGACCTGCCGTCATGGACAGCCACATGACGACAGCGTTTGCCCCTAACCTCCGCATTCTTTATCTCTGTTGTGGAATTAAACCACTATTAAAACATCTTAATACAGGCAGTCTGGTGATGGCAGTAACCCACCGTTAGGTTTAACAACAGGTAAGACAGTCCGGCATAAAATCACAGCGTCTCCCTCCAACTCTCAGATTCAGGTTCACCAGCTGCCCGGTGTTAGTACAGACAAACGCTGAATTGCTTTCCCACTTCCACGAGTCTTATTAAACCATCACTCAACCTGAAATAATGTTTACATCTCCCACATCGCATCTCTGATAATTGAATTAAACAAAAAGGACGTGCAGTTTGGAGCTGTGGTGCGTACGGAGCGCAGAGGCGGAGCGCATCGGTTTATTTATCTATTCAGAGAGCAGCGTTTTCCAGTTTTGTATAAAGTTGATTTTAATAACTCATTCACATTTTAAGAAACCTAATCTGAAGCCTAAAGCTGCTAAATGCCAACTAATTTAACTAAATGTGTTCAATTACCAAGTGCATAAAAAACGCATCAAAATAGAGCTTGTTTGTCAGAAAATGTTCAGGTCTGAGCCTTAAATGTCCTCAAGCCCTAAAACAACAGCCGTTTAGCTTTAGATACAAACAGAAGCAGTTCATGTTATAGCATCCAGTCCTTAAGATGAATTCATATCACCAACCAACATCTCTTACAGCCCGTACAGTAAAGGCTGTTTAATTTTTGTCTATCCTCTCCCTCCTTTGTTGGTCAAAAATGCTTTTGATACCTGTGTATGTGACGTAGCACTCCGCAGCCAACCTACTTTATCTAAGGCTGCTTTCACACCTGCCCTGTTTGGTTCAGTTCAGTCGAACTCAGTGTGATTCATTTGTGCAGGTGTGAACACACCAAAACAACTTTTACTGAGACCTTCTTGAAGAGGTGGTCTCAGTCCCTGTTTAGACGACAACGGTTTCTCTAAAAATGGAAAAGTCTGTCCTTTGCGTTTTAAAAAACTTCTGTGTTTATATGACGACGTTATTGAAACGATCCCCGTTCACACGGAGCCGCAAAATCTACTGGAAATGCTGTAGTATGCACGCCGGGTCAATGGGTGGCAGTGTAAACTTGCAAAGCAACACCACGGCATGACGCCATGCGCCTGCGCTGAAGCGCCTTCCTCTACAATGCGGTGATTGCAAACCAAAACAAAGAAGACACAATGGCGAAAGCATGCACAGATAACTTTGTCTGGATGGACGATGAGGTGGAGTTGCTACAGTAACAGATCTACACTTCACTTCAAATCAA